CCACAAGCAGCACCCACCTCCTCTCCCCCACCAGGGCTGTAGTGCGAGGGGAGAAGAGGAGGGCAGCTTCACCAAGGCCATGGTTCACTCACTCCTGGCCAAGGGAGCAGGGTGAAGGGCAGGGGCTCCCCGACAGATTGAGGGGGTGGGGGAAACCAAAATAAAACGTCAAATAAATTGTGTAGGAGTCCAGCCAAGGGCCCTGCCAGAGCTGGGCCAGACTGGGGGAGGGGGCCTCTGCAGGCTGGAGGATCACTGCTGCCACCACAGCCACCCTAGATAGGAGAGAGAAACCAGGTGAGACAGGGTAAACCTTCAACGGGAAGAAGGGCAAAGGGGACAGGACCATGCTGGGGGCAGAAAATAAGCCTGGAACAATTAAAACTAAAGCAGTTCTTTGATGGAGACAACAAAGTGGGCAGCTGGGGGAGGGCCGTCACACTCACCTGGGAGCCACTTATTTTGCCATGGCCTTGATTGCAACAGCTGCCTCCTCTGTCATGGCAGACAGCACCGTGATCTGGGGGAGCAAGGGGAATAGAAGGCTGAGCTCAGAGAAAGAGGCACGAAGAACAAAGCAGGGCACAAAAGCGGGGCACCATACCAGGATCTCTTCTCCACAGTCATACTTCTGCTCAATCTCCTTGCCGAGGTCTCCCTCAGGCAGACGAAGGTCCTCTCGCACCTCCCCACTGTCTTGGAGCAGTGATAGATACCCATCCTGGATGCCAATCAGCTGCGGGCAGATAAGGATGGAAGCTGAAGGTGGGCCCAGGTAGCTTGAGAGTAAGGGTCGGATAGGCAAACTGCTAATACCCTCTCCTCCTGCCATTTCCCTTCTCTCAGCACAAGCTCTTCTGCTCATTCTGTATTTCTCCCCCATAAACCACTAGCCCGCCTACACCCAGATCATCTACATACCTGAAAATCATTCCTTTTGATGTTGGGGACATCCATATTATGAGTTGACGGGCAGATATCTTCATATTTCTTCCCAGTAAAGATGTCAATACCAACCAGATGGACCTGTATGTATGCATCACATCAAAGAGAAACCCAACCAGACTCTAGGATGGAAGAGATAAAGGCTCAAGTTGCCCCTAGCTGGTGAGGGAAGCTGTCAGGGCAAAGATTAGGGGAGTTGGCATTGAACTAATCAACTCAAGAAAGAAACACTAAAGCCTCTTAAAAAACAACCCAAGGCCAAAAGACCACCACTGCCACTGGGGCTGACAGCACAAGGGAAGTTGTAGGGCAGGCTTGGAGCAGTCAGTTACCTAAAGTTATCAAAACATTACTGAGGCCAAGATCCTAGGGGAGGAGGGAGAGTCTATGTAAAACTTTGGAAGAGGTTTTAGATATCAGCATAAACCAAGGAACTTGGAAAACAAGGAAGATCAAAAAGAGCTGAGGAAACAGGAAAGAATGAGAAAGGAAGAGAGCTGAAAAGCAAAAAGGATTTGGGGGAGACCAGAAAGAACTATGCATTTAGTAAAAAAGGAAACCAGAAAGTAGAGAGAATGACCTAGACATTAGGGAGTAACCCAAGATGAATGCGAAGTCAACAGAAGATAGAAAAACTAGGGAACAAAACAAGAAATCCAACAAAGATGAACGATGTTGAACTTTTGAGGAAAAAAAAAACCTTAAAGTGACAAGGAAAGCACTAGCAAGAATGTTAGGACCTAAGTAAGGAAGCAAGGAGGGGACAGGGAGAGGCAGTCTGATAACTGCATCAGAGATCCAACAGGAAAGCTGGCACTAGACAGTGGGGCAGTAAGCTGATTTGGAAGCTCCGAGGTACACTGGAGCCCCTCCAGCGGAGGGTGCATAACATGGTAGGACTACAGATATCCCAGGTAAAAGTGAGGGAAACAAAGAGCACCTACAAAGACTCAAAAGGAGACACACAGAAAAAGTGAAAGGCAGGATCAAGGACGGAGTAGCCTGAGCATTAAGGACCACGAAGAGCTGAAGACTTACATAAAGGGGGGGGGGGTTACCAAGAATGACAGGGCACAGGAGGGTAACCAAGGAGGAAGCTGAAGGCCTAAGACTGGTGTAGTAGTCGAACGTTATCCAGGGCTGAGTGCTGAACACAAGGATCTGGATGGTAATCAAAGAGCTAAAGAACATAGAGAGCTAGCACTGATGACAGCTCGTGGGGGAAGGTACGATGTGGAAGTGAAATTCTAACCTTGGCGTGGCCGTGCTTGCCAGTCTTCGAGGTGGACATCTCCACAATCTTACATGGCCGGCCTTTGAGCACCACAAAGCCATTCTTACGTAATGCTGAGCACTGCATCGGGAAGGTGGCTGAGGCCCCTGCATCTCCTGTCTCGAAGTCCAAATCATCTGCCATTTTAAGAGGCTTCGATTCCAACTAGAGTCAAGAAGAGAACTAGGGTCAGTAAGGAGGTTAACAGGGTCTCCAATTTACCCCACTCTACTCTGGAAATATTGCTTCATTTCTTCCCCAGACCTTTATTCCATTACCCACGTAAAATAGTGTCAAAGTTCCTACATTAAATACTGATTGACATCACAAATACTGAAGAACCGGTGCATGTATGCAGGTGGGCGGGGGATAAGCAAGATCCCCATTTGAAATGAAAGTTAAAGGGGTGACTTGGGAAAGGAAAGCTCCAGGAAGTTAGGATGCCAAATCTCTGAGATGGGCAAAGGCCTAATTCCTGGTATTGGGAGGACTCAGGTGTTACTTGCCACTGAAACCAACAACCCTTCTTCCCCACACATAACCAGGGCTATAATTAGGTGAGCAGCTATGAGCCAGCAAAAAGGCGGGGCTAATGTGGGGGGGAAGGGGGGTGGAGACCGGAGGACGGGGAGCCCCACCCGTCTCTGCCACCCCCCCACCCTATCCACACACGAGCCAGTCATTGGTACAGGAAACCACAAGGCCTCTTTGGGGGATTCCCGCCTCTCCAACATGCATTCGCAGATGCAGCCAAGGGGGAGAAAATAAAGTTGTTTTCTAATTGATCCCTCTACCAAACACCTCTGGTTTCCCAAAGGGAACCCAGGAACCCAGCCTCTCCTCCAGGGCCCTCCCACTTTTCCCAGGATGCATCGGTCCTGTCGGATTTTCAGGCCGGGCCTGTACAGTCAGTAGAAAGTGGGGGAGTGGGGAGTGGTGAATGACAATAAAATGAAAGCAAAAGGCTGGTAGTAGCTAGTGAGTAGTATAAATTATACCAAGCTAGTAGAGTTAAGGACTCTAAAACCAGGAACACCCAATCCAGACACCGAGAAAGACAGTGACAAGGTGAAGAGCACCTATCACAGCGGGTAACTCATCTGCCCAGGACTTTAAGGCGCTGTCGGCACGATCGAGAAGAGTTGGGCTCCCGTCCAATTGCCCTCGGTTTCCCCATTTCTCTGGCCTCCCATCACGGAAGAGTGCCACTTACATCTGGCTGGAAGCCTCACTTCACATGAGGATTGGGGGGAAAGCCCCAGGGGCCCATGAGGTGGGGAAGCGCTAACATATGCCCGCAGCGAGCTCTCCGGGGTGATCAGGAACCGGGCCTCGGGCTTCTCTCACTCCTCAAAATTCCAAGCTCCCTTAGGCGCTCGCGAGGACCTTCTCTCCCCGCGCTGGGGGGTTGCCGACTCCTGCCCACCATGTGGCCGCCCGGGGCTTCCGGTGGCCGGGACCTGGGGGGAGGGGTCCCCGCGCTGCCATGCGGCCCCGGTCCACGTTCGGCCATGAGGCCGCCGACCCGGAGGGCAGCCTTCCCTCGGGGGCACTTCCGGTGCTGCGGCCGCCCCCTCCTCAAAGGCCGCGCCAGGCCGGAGCCACGCCGCCCTCCCTCCCCCACGCCGGCCGCCAACCCCCCCCACTTGCCCTCTCACCGAAGAGCCCCCTCCCCCACCTCACGTGGTCTCCCGGCGCCCGGTTTTCAACGGCCCAGGCACCCTACCCCCGGCGGGCCGATCTGGCCCCCGGCCCTCGCCCCGGCGTGGCCGCCCGGCGGCCTCTCCCGCGTGGCGGCCTCGCGGCTCGCCGTCCCCCGCCCTGCGTCGCTCCAACGTCACCCAGCCGGCCCCAACCGTCACCCTGCGCGCCAACCGGGGTGCGCGCCCGCTTCTTTCCGCACCTCGCGCCACTCGCCGACCGAACCCCGTGCGGCGGCAGCCGCTGCTTCCCTCTGCCCCCTCCCCGACCCCCGCGCAGTCCCATCTCTACTCCCAGGCCCAAGCCAAGGTTCCGCGCACGCGCGCCCTACCCGCTCTCACCTCGCGCGAACGCACTGAGTCGACCCCGTCCGCTCGCCGCGAGCCCAACCGCTGCCTCCGAGCCCGCCGCCGCCGCCGCCGCCGCCTCTACCGCCGCCGCCGCTGCTGCACACGGGTCTTAGTACGCAGGCGCCGACTCCCCACTGACCAACCAAGCAGCCCTGTGACAGACGCGCAAGCGTGCTATCTATCTCCTCCGCCCTCCACCCCCGCACTGCGCAAGCGCACAGACCCTCCCCGATCTCCACCCTCCCTCCCACCTACCCATCCAATGACGCGCATACGTGGCCCCGCCCCTCACATATCCTGAGCTCTTCCCACCGGTAGGCAACGCGCAGGCGCACCCGGTTTTTTAAGCCCTTCAACCTCCTCTCCCCTCCCCGCGTTAGACCACCAGCCTTACCGGACAGTCCTTGCGCCTGCGCAATAAGGAGCCCTGCACGCCACACCCTCTGAAGGAAACGCCTCGGCCTCAAGGCGCATGCGTCTTGGGAATCCTGACCGCCCCTTCCACCTCAGACGTCGTCTGTACGCCAGGCGTTGAAAAGACCACGCCGCTGTATTGCTTGTCTCGTCTAGGACGCATGCGTCTTAGGAAACGCCCCACCTCGACTTTCCTGGACTTAAAAGAGTCACACGTTTCAGAAAACTTGTACTGTGGGGTGGGCCCCTTGTCTCAAAGCCCATCCCCCGGTTCCACACATGCGCGAGAGAGCTCTTTCCGCTCCACTCTTCCTAGCCCGGTAGTGTGGTCGGGTTACCACCCATCTCAGCTTCACTTCTCTAAACTGTGCGAAAGGCTCTGCCATAGAGTTTCACCCGGAAAGGTAGAGCGGCCCTGTCCCAGCCACCATCTTGTTTAAACCCTCAGTCTCCGTAGGTCCCTGTGGCTTCCATGGAGGCCATTCTACCTCTGAATCCTAAAATAAAGAGATTTACATGGCATTTTTCTCTGTTTTCCCCAGCTTCTCTCTGCGGTCTCCAAAACAATTGTCTACGAGCACTTGTATAAAAAATTCTCTGTAGAGTGACATCAAATTCCACTGACGTTCTCTAAATCGTGGAAGGTGACCATGAAGTATGTATCTCGGAATGAATTTCCCTGACCTTCTAGGGAAGAAAACTGTTACTTTTAACTTTGTATTTTTCTCCCCCCAGTTCCTAGGTTTTCAGTACTTCATGGCTAACTTGTTAGCTTCAGTAAACTAGGTGGGCAACAGTATTGGGGAACAGGATAAGCAACTAAATAACTGGGCTTGGAAACCAAAATCCCGAATTTGGTTATTCTTTTGTTTAAGAACGCTGTGATGCGATAGATGTGAATGGCAAACACCACCTTGAATTAATACATCTATGTAGCACATTTTACTATCACCCCAACTCCTCCTTCTCCATTTTCTGAAATTTCTGCCATTTCCTTTGGGGGAGGGGGAAAGCTTGCTAGGTACATTGTTTTAAAGACCAATACCTGCTCTTCTCAAAGATATATTGCCCATATGACCCAACAATTCCACTCCTAGGTATATACCGCCCCCCAGGTTAAAAACAGGTACAAAAATCCTTGCATGCAAGTATATCCAGCAGCAGTATTCATAGTAGTCAAAAGGAGGAAACAACCCAAATATCCATCGACAGATGTATGAATGAACAAGTTGTGGTATATACACATAGTAGCATATTAGTCACAAAAAAAGGAATGAAGTATTCATGCTTGCTATAAATAGAGAAACTTTGAAGACGTTATGCTAAGTGAAAGAAGCCAAACAAAAAAGGTCACACATTCTATTATTTCATTGATATGAGCTATCCGGAATAGGTAAATCCATAGAAACAAAAAGCAGATTGGTGGTCACCAGGTGCTAGGGGCGAGGGGAATGGAGAGTAACTGCGTAATGGTCATTTGGTTTTAAGAATGAGAAAATGTTCTGGAAATAGAGGTAGCGGTTGGGCAACCACGTGAATGCACTAATACTGCTGATTTGTTTATCTTAAAATGGTTAGTTTTATGTTATGTTATATTTTAAAATTGAATTCCACCTCAATTTTAAAAACTCTTGTACCCAAGTGTTTTTTAACATGATTCATAATAGCCAAAAAATAGAAACTACTCAAATATCCATCAACTGATGAAGGGATGAATGAAATACAGTATGTCCTTTACAGTGAAATATTATTCAGCAATGAAAAGAAATGAAGTACTGGGTACATGCTACAACATGGATGAACCTTGAAACATATGCTAAATGAAAGTCAGTCACAAAAGACCACATAGTGTATTATTCCATTTACATGAAATGTCCAGAATAGGCAAGTCCATAAAGACAAAGTAGAGAGTAATTGCCTAGTGCTGAGGGGTTAGGGGGAAATGAAGAGATAGAGAAGGGCTGCTAACCGGTATGGGGCAAGGGACAGAGGGTGTGTTTTTGGAGTGATGAATATGTCCTAAAATTTATTGGAGTGATGGTTGTCCTCTTCAGATATTAAAAAAAAAAACACTGAACTGTACACTTTAATTAAATTATATGCTATGTGAATTATATCTTGATAAAGCTGTTACTTTAAAAATGTATTGTCACCTTTGATAGTACATACTGTGCACAATGTAACAGTCTTAACTGGTTCATTTCTCTGAGACATTGTTGAAGTGTCTGTGTGGGTGAGCTAAGTCACAAGCTCCATAATTTTAAGAGGGGCTGAGTGACGACAGCCCCCACGAGCTTCCATTCAAAATAAAAGGGGCCCAAAGAATCTTGACAGAAGGCTAAGACATACACACTCAGAGAAAGAGAAGGATAAGATATTATATAGTATTGTACGTTGATGAGATAGTATCTGGGAAGACCACAGTAGCATTAGACCTATGGAGTTACCACAGTTCAGGGTAGAGTCCTCAGTTTTGTAAGCCCCAACATTTTATTTTCCAATCAAGTCTCTTCTTTAGGGAAAACTTTCCTGACCTACCAAACTAAGCTTCTCATGTTATATGTTCTCACAGCAAACATTATAGTATTTATCATAGATTGTTAATATCCATTTACATGTGGAATTGCTTTATTAATGTCTGGTCTTCTCCATTAGACTATAACCTGTACAGGGACAGGAATCTGGCTGCTTTGTTCACCACTGTCTCCTCAGCTCTTAGAATTGTGCCTGGAAAAAAAAAAAGAATTGTGCCTGGCAAACACTTGGTACATCACAGATTTAATGTTGAATGAAGGTACACCTGACTCAAGCCAGCTAGACTCACAAGAGATTGACAAAGAAATGGCAATAATAGCTTATTTATAAATGAATTGAAATGGTGAAGAGCAACAGAACATCTATGTTGGCTGGTCCATCTGTCCATTCTTTCTATAAGAAAATACAAGTAGAAAAACAGAATATAGCCAAGTTGCCTTGAAATCAAGATAAAGGAATTAGCTGTGAGTATATACTTCACGACTAGTCCCCTACAGCTCTAAGAGCATGCACATTTGTCTTCAGTGTAGAAGAGGCCCATCTGTCTCCCCTTCAAAAAGAATCCTGGAATAGTAACAAACGTGGATCAGGACTCCCCTGAAAATTCCTGGAGAAATTTTCTGGCTTTTTTTCCCCCTCTGATTTACATCCCCCTTTGGTTCACAATGAAGTTTCTTTCCTTAAAACTGATTCAAATATAATCAGTCAGATTCTACCTTGTCTTAATGGCATTCACATTCCTTTCCCATATTCTTCTGGTTACATCCTCTCACCAAGATTAGATTTCAGATTTTTTTCTGGTTTGTTTGTTTGTTTGTTTGTTTGTTTATTAACCAGAGGTACTGGGGATTGAACCCAGGATTTAAGCACACACTCTACCACTGAGCTATTTCAGACATTCTTGAAAAACTTTCCAATTACCCTTCTGTAGATTTTCAATGGCTTTGGATGATGTCTTGACAACTAATCTCATTATTTCCTCATTCCTTTCTCAGAGGGCAACAGTTTAAAGGGTACCCATTCTCTGCTGAGAGAGAAGTTTGCCAAATGAGTCTGTATATCTGTTCTGATAGACTTTTCTGGTAGGCTTTTAAAACCTATTTTGAAATAACTTTAGATTTACAGAAGAGCTGCAACAATCATACAAAGAGTGTTTTAAGGAAGGTCAATAAAAAGTTTTGAATGGGAACCAGTGATGTGGTAGAGGCTGCTTATGTAGGAATATAAGAACCAATTGTGCACATCTTTTACTAATTCAATCCAAGTTCAATAATGTCTTACTGGTACCTTAAAATTGGCCCCAATTTTACACAAGGGAGATTGGCGTATATTGCAAATCAGGGTCCCCTCATCCAGAGCTGGGGGTTAAACATTTAATAGCATAGCATGGGTCGGGACCACTGATAGGGAAGGCGATTCTGATGTATACAAATAGTGTTAAATCTGGATAATCCAGCCATGGTGTGAGAGGTGGGTTCAAGGAGTGAGAGACTGGAGGTAAGAAGGCCTTTGGAAAGCTGTCATGTGGTTCAGTTAGTAAACAATGAGGGTTTGGACTAGGAGTTCCTGAGGAAAGCAGCATTTTAATAACTGGACCTTGAAAAATGGATGGAATTTGGGTGGAAAGGTAGAAATAAGGGGAAAAGGCATTCCAGACAATGCAAACAGAGCGAAAGTGTGGAGGAAGATGTGCAGAGTGAAGAGAGAAAGTTATGTCAGTGGTTGGGGCTGGAGGGCAGAAGTTGTAAAAGAAAGGTCCTGGGGGAAGGGAGACCTGGACCAGATCATGGAGTCTTGCCTCTGTGCAAAGGAGCAGGGTCTCAGGGTCTTTTTTTCTGTACCTGTTGGAGAAGCAATGCCAGTCACGGATGCCACTGTGCTCTAGGAAACTCCTGTCATCCACAGGTAACAGAAGATCACAATGAAAAGGCGGTGCATAGAGGATTTTTAGGGCAGTAAAACTACTCTGTATGATACCACAGTGGTAGATACATTTTATTGTAAATTCATCCAAACCCACAGAATGTACACCACCAATAGTGAACCCTAATGGAAACTGTGAACTCTGGGTAATAATGATGCATCAATGTAGGCTCATGGATCATAAAAAATGTGCCACTCAGGTTGGGGGTGTTGATAATGGGGAAGGCTATGCATGCATGTCTCGGGGCAGGAGATATATGGGAAGTTTCTATACTTCCGCTCAGTTTTGAAGTGAACCTGAAACTGCTCTAAAAGTTAAAGCGATTATATTTAGGAGGAAAACAGTGGAGCTGGACTGGAAGCAAGAGACCAGGGAAGAACCTCTGACAGTAGCCCAAGTGGACAAGAATGATGGCCTGGATCAAGGCAGCAGTGGTGAGGCCAGGAGGATAAGATGAACCAGAGCCATTCTGGAAATCTAATCGATGGAACTTGGTGGGTAGTTGAATGAGGAAGATGAGGTCAAAGGGTAGGTGAATGGTGCCTTCAGTCCGTGTGGTTGGGGGACATACTGTGCTATGCAAGCCGTTCTGAGGATACATGCAGTAATACAGGAACTGGGAAATCCTCTTAAGGTTCTGGGATTCTGAGATTCTTGGGTAGCCTGCACAGAGTTGGATGGAGTGTGTATGTTAGTGTCACAGCTCAGCTGGGCTTGGGAAGGTGGGTAGGACTGAGGCTGAAGACAAACCAATTGTTTTTTGTACCACTTGTTCATTACCTGGAAGGGAAAGTTCACCAATTGTATCAAGAGGAATAGTTTTACATGATTAAAAAGATTCTGTTAAGCTTCCTTTATAATAAAAATACAGGTCAATTGTGGGAAAAATTTTGGACAATGTAGAAAATAATAAGAAAAAAATTAACCATAAACCCAACACCCAGAGGCAACTGCTATTAATGTTTTAACCATATATTCCTCCATCCTTTGTTTTATGCCTTTTAAAAAATACATCTGAGTAGGGAGGGTATAGCTTAAGTGGTAGAGTGCATGCTTAGCATACGCAAGGTCCTGGGTTCAATCCCCAGTACCTCCGCTAAAAATAAATCAGTAAACCTAATTACCCCCCAAATTAATGAATCAAAAATTAAATTAAAAAATTTAAAAAATACATCTGAGATCATAGAGAACAGATTCTGTCTGTGTTATATGTGAAAGTAAACTGTCAGCTGATGAAAGGAATTTCCAGATAAAAAATAGGCCTGTACACCAGAAATTGACACAACATTGTAAAATGAATATACTTCAATTAAAAAAAAAACAGGACAGGACTGTGGTGGGGTGGGAGTACAAATATTTTACAGTGAGAAGTTATCCTTATCAGGAGCCCTTGGCAGGGACCATTCTTTTTTCCATCCTCAAGGGCTTGTGTAAAAGTCATATATACCAAATGAAGCCTGAGAATGAGCCAAACCAAAAAATCCTTTGGCTGCAGGGGAGGGCGGTGGTGGTTTTGGACCTGCTCTTACACACCCAGCTGCTGGGACCAGAGCAGAAACCTTGACAGCATTCACTTACTCATCCATTCATTCAGTTAATATTTACTGAGTCTATTATGTTCCAGATACATGGGATACAAGGGTGGTGAGTTTAGCTGTATGGACCCTGTCCCACAGTTGGGAGGGTGAGATAATCAGACAATAAACAAATAGATAATGTTGTGCTCAGGCCAGTGAGTGATGGGTTTATGAATGGCAGTTGGTTTGAGAGCAGGAGGAGCATCCTGAGAAGATGCCTGAGGGATCTTTTCTGATTTTGACCTTGCGTTTTTGGAAGCTAAGAAAAAAGGGTGGCGATGGAGAAGAATGAGATTGGTGCGGTTCTGGGCCTGAAGGAAAACACCCAGAATTCCCAGAGGCCTTGGGGAACCTGGGTGCTAGGGAGAGAAGTCAGGAAGTTTCTTAGAAACTGGACCAAGGGATTAGAGAATAGGGCTGGGGACAGAATAGGAACCCAGCTCCTAAAGGAAGCTCCATGAGCCAACAAATGACTCTGGAGCATTTACTGTGATCATTCATTTGCTCATGTGTTCACTCTCCAGGTGGAAACGGAGGCTTGCTCTGTGCCAAGCCCTGTGGCCAGAGTTAAGAGGTAACAGGGCAGAGTGACTCGGCCCACTGCCGGGAGCGTGGGGGCTGAGTGAGCACCATGAGCAAACAAAGCCCAGCCTGGAACCTGGCAGGTCTTTTGGCAGAGAGGACACCAGAGCTGAGGAATTTGAAGAAGAATTGGCCCTCAGGTAGGGGAGGGTGTGCTCAGTGGTAGAGCGCATGTCTAGCATGCACAAGGTCTGGGGTTCAACCCCCAGTACCTCTTCCAAATGTAAATAAATGAATAAACCTAATCCTTTACAAAAAGAAAAAAGAAGAAGAAGAAGTAGAAAGCATTGTAAGACAGCGAGGAGTGGGGGGGTGGAGGATGAAGAAGGTCAAAAAGTACCGAATTCCCAGTTATAAAATAAATAAGTCCTGGGGATGTAATGTACAGCATGGTGACTATAGTTAAGGACACCGTATTGTAGATTTGAAAGTTGCTAAGAGAGTAGATCTTAAAAGTTCTCATCACAAGGAAAAAAATTTGTAACTATGTATGATGAATGTGCACTAGATATTTGTGATAATCATTGTGCAGTATAAACATATAGCAAATGATCAAATCATTGTTATACATCTGAAACTAATATTATGTTATGTGTCAATTACATCTCAAAAAAACCCAGAAAATAAAAAAACAGTGAGATATGAGTTTAAAGTTAGAGATTAAAGAATATACTGAGGGCACACTTCAAGGTCACCTTGTCAAGACCAGCCAGGAAGCAGACCTGAGACCGACTGGCATGCCGTTCTCTGTCCTCTGTTCACCTCCCTTCCTCTTCAGGATGCTCAGTCCAGCTTGGAATATCTGATTCTTCTTGGTCCTGGTGCCCCCAGTTTGTTCTTGGAAGGAAAAGGGTGCTGGGCAACTCAGAGATGCTGGGACTCACCAAATCCTAGTCTCTACAAAGGGGAAACCGGCCTTAGAGGTGGAACTTGGACAAGAAAGAGGATCCCCCTGCCTGAGGCCAGGCCCAAGTCTCCTGCTTATTTAGAGAAGATGGAGTCTCCCCTCCTGCCAACCCTGAAGGAAGAGAAAGTTCTCCAAATCTGCCCTGCCGTTCATCTGAGCTGTCCATCTTGGGGGCTGCCTGGGATCTCCAGACTGAGCTGTAAAGTCAGAGTTTAATCTGAGAGGCCCGAAAGAGCTGCCTGTCCAGAAAAACATCCCTCTCATCTCACTGCCTTCTGGAGCCTGCCAGGGAGGACTAAATTCCCACCAAGGGCATCAGTTCTCTGGGATGATTCAGTTCTACCCAGAAGAATCCAATAAAAGGCTTTAGACATCATTCAGGGGCCTCTGGAATCAGGACACATTTTTGCCTGGATTAGAAGTCTGCCAGAACTAGGTTCCAACCTACCTCTCCCCGCTGTTCCCTCCAAAGCCCCTTCAGGCCTCCTGTACTTCCCAACACAGTCATGTTCTTCCCGCCCTTGCGCCACTCATGTTGTTTAACTTTGGCCCAGTCACTTGGCGTCTCTGGGACTGTCTCTTCCTCTATGAGAACAGCGAGCTCAACACTTACTTCCCAGAGAGATCACCCAGATCTAGGGCTCTGAATCCCGTCTGTGCTCAGGGCTCCAAATGCGTGACTCCAGCCCCAGCTTTCTCCTGAGCTGCAGATTCATGCCTCCAGCTGCCTGACTGAGCTCTCCTCTGGGATGTTTCAAACAAGCCCCAAGTCAAGTTCCTGACTATGTTCCTCTTCTAGGGTTTCTCATTGAAATAATAGCGTCATCATCCGCCTACGTTCAAGCTAAAAACCTAGATTCCTTGATTCCCTTTCCCTCAACCCCACATCCAGTCCACCACCAAGCCCTGCAGACACTATTTCCAAAGCATATTTCAAACTGGCCCCCTTCTCTCCAGCCTCATTGCCAGCACACTCATCCACAACCCCATCTCCTCTGCCTCCCTCCAATTTATTATCCCCAGAGCAGCCAAGTAATATTTTAAAAACACAAATCAAGTAGGGGAGGTGGTGTGTGCGTGGGGACAGAGGGTAGATGAGAAATCTCTGTATTGTCTGCTTAATTTTGCTGTGACTCTAACACAGCTTTTTTTTTTCTTGAAAGTTAATTAATTAATTAATTACTTTTAATGGAAGTCCTGGTGATTGAACTCAGGACCTCATGGATGCTAGGCATGTGGTCTACCACCGAACTATACCCCTCACTCCTAACAGGTTTAAAAATTTGTTTATTTTGAAAAATGCATCAGACCATATCATTCACTCCTCCTTTTAAAACCCTTCAAAGACTTCCCATCACTCTTAGAATAAAATCCAGATTCCAAGGCTGATCTGCATTTGATTCCCAGCGTGGCTTGTTCCACAGCCGTGTGATTTTAGGCTGGTTGCTTAACTCCACTATATCCTGTTTCTTTATTTGAGGAGTGGGTATAATTTTAAAAGTATCCACTTCCCAGGGCCGTTGTAAGGAGCAAATGAAGATATTTAAAGTGCTTAACACAGCAGGTGGCTCATATTAAGTCCTCAGTAAATAACTCAGTGCTCTTTAGTCAATAAATATTAACTCTTACTGTTATTAGGTTAAAAAAAAGATATTGGAGGAGGTTTCAAGAAGGAGGCAGTTAGTAATATCAGATAGAGAAGCTAGGACAGGAGGCAGAGGGTGGAGAAAAGGTCAAGGATTTGGCAGAGTCCGAGCAGAGCCTGGAAAAGGGGAGGGCAGAGCTATCAAAGAAGAGGAGAAGAGGAGAGGGAGGCTGGAGGTACGGAACATTCTCTAGGGACAATTGAAAAATAATAGAGCAGGTATTAGAAGAGAGAGGAAGAAGAAAACTGATTCAGGCTGCATTGAGAAAGTAGGAGAGGAAAGTTGCTGGGAGTGTTTGGTACTAGGGGACAGAGGCAACAGCATATTTTCAATCTGTCAAATATTAGCTCAGTTTGATACCATAAACCTTCACCTTTACTGTGCTGAGCCTGGGCACCCAGGGGAAACTGTTCTACAAATGAGGAGTGGGCACTAAAGAATGATTGTCTGTGGGTTAAGTGGTGACACAACTCAGCGTGGGAGGGACGAAAAAGGAGCTTAGACGGGGACTTAAATTTCAGAAGCCTGAGGAGCAAATGGCTAGAGAATGCCTGGCTCAGAGGCGGCTAGACGGTGGGAAAGACTCAGGGCTGGAGACACAGGTTGAAGAGCCATCAGTAGCAGGTGGTCACCAAAACCAGGCGAATGGATGGATACATGACCTACAGGAGGCAGGCGGCAGGGGAAGACAATCCAGGAAAGATGGAGGCTAGTGGAGAACAAGGCACAGAAGGAGAGGATGAGGGCATAGGGGAAGGTTAGGCTGTGGAAGCTTCACCAGGAAAATGTCTGTGGATGGAGTTGAAAGGGAACCCAGATCCATGCCCTGAATGTCTCAGTTAAGAAAAGGGTGTGGGGGGAGGGTATAGTGCAAGTGGTAGAGCACATGCTTAGCATGTGGGAGGTCCTGAGTTCAATCCCCATTACCTCCTCCAAAATAAATAAATAAACCTAGTTACCCCCCACAATTAAAAAAAAAACATAAGAAAGGAGTATGGACCACAGCTGAAGCCTTCTAAGTGGAGTGGTGGGGGCAGAAAGCAGATTTGGGTTGGTGGGGTGTGAAAGAGACTAGAAACAGTAAAGACTGCTTTCAGGAAGTTTGGTGCTATACTGATGGAAGGGTAGAGGGCAAGGGCTAAGGAGGCAGAAATTTTGTTTTTTTGTTGTTTTTTTCCTTTTTGGGGGAGGGTAATTAGCTTTATTTATTTATTTTTAGAGGAAGTACTGGGGATTGAACCCAGGACCTCATGCATGCTAAGCATGCACTTTACCACTTGAGCTATACCCTCCCCCAGGGCTTTGGTTTTAATTTTTAAATTTTTTAGCAGTGAACAAGCTAGACCAGACTTCAGGTGGGGAGAAGAGGGACAGAAAAAGGAGGATGCCTTTACACCAGAATGCCTGGAGCCCTTGTTATCTATGGCACTTAAAAAGACTTAAATAACCAGAAAATTATATGCACAAACCCTTCAACTGAACAGGGGTATTAATTGCATCTCTCTGTTGGCATCTGCTACTCCTTATCCACGGGGACAGAGAACATGTAACTGTTGTTATGTCTAAGTGTTTCATGCCTCCATGTTGCCAGCCCCGGAGTACTTTCTTGCAGCACCTCCAACCCTGATCTCCGGGCGTATTTTTAATATTATTACAAACAAGTCTTTCACTCTTCCTGTGAGCTTCCTCTCTCTCACCCTCTAAACTTACAGTTAACCAGTTCACACCTGAGCTCCCTCTGTACCTTCCATGCGATTCTTTGGTTGCCAGGGTCAAAGTGTGATTTATCTGGTCTGCTCCTTCCAGCCTTGATCTCCTGTTTTACCCATTCCTTGAGCCCAGGGCTGGACACAGGTAAATCGGTCCTTAATAGTCGAAGGGAAGGTAGTCACTTCTGCATCCTTCACAGCCTCGCCTTGATTTACTGTTATCTCATCTTTTCTCGCTTTCCGTCCACT